CCTCAATCATCGTCAATCATCATTGTCATCAAAACACAGCTGTGATTATGTGTTGTGTCCGCGGCAACGCAAACATCGGTTTGAATGGATTGACCTGATTGCTGACTCGAATGACGGGAGTCGTACGTGAAATATTTGCAATAAGCAGCTAATAAGCAGCTAATAAGCAGCAGTATATATAATATTGCCCATATGGCAATAAGTAATAGTAATAAGTGGTAAGTGACCGGTAAGTGGCGCATTAATACTATAAAGACTAGAAGATGGACTGATGCACTGTCATGCACCGTCAACTGTAAAATAATAGTAAAGAAACACAGGTCACAAGCGTTCCAACAACCATAACAACAACAGCGACAACGATGTCTGACTTCATGACGACGATGTCTCAATGCTGACACTGTTACTGATGATGTCAAACTCCAACACCGGTATGATCTGGCTAGTGGCTAGTGCGACTCGCTAGCACGGAAAGACATTAACTATTAAGTACAGTATTTCAACCTCTGTTTTCAATCAAGCCCAAGCTGCCACTCGTGTCCGGCATCGTCTCAAGCGCCCTCACCAGTATCTTATGCCAAAAAAAGCCGTCTCGAACGAAATTGTTGCATTCCGTCGCGTGCTTCCACCGGTACAATAGCGGCACTGCCATGTTGGAAAACATTTCCGTATACGCTTGCAGTAGAAAAGCTAAAGCCTCGTCCCTTCCACCCTGGCAACACGACGGACCAACACACCAATGCACAATTTTTGGGGTCCGAGGGTCTCCGTTGTCTTTCGTCATAAGCTTCAAGTTGGCACGAAAACGTTTGGAGAAACCGGACCCCTTGTTGCCAGCGTGACCATCGTCAGCTTGCAGCCTCAAGCACTTGATCTTTTCGGCTTTCCAAGCAACCGCCTCCTCCGGCAACGACTGGACTGGCACAAAATCGAAGGAATCCTTGACCACCTTCACAATTGCAGCATGCCAGCGCTGGCGAAACGTAAACGATTCAAAACAATGTCCGAATCGAACGAGGCACGACCAGTATCCTGGGAATCCCAACGCAAGTGTTTTGCGTGTGAGTGCCACCTGATGGATTAAGCAATGAATCTGTAGCGCCACCGTTTTGGCTGCAGAAGGCACGGACTCCAGGGATCGGTAGTGAACGGTTTTGACCAGTTGCTGAAACACCGAATCATTTGTGCGGAGGGCGTCCGAAATCACTACGAAAATCTGGCGCTGCACGTGGTCGAACAGATTCTCCGGTATGCCCCACGACTGTAGTCTCTGCCCAACCCTTCCGTCGAATGACAGCGCATACGACAAGAAATGCGAAGACAGGTTTTCGGCATTGGCCCGCTTTAAGGAAAGAATGGGCTGGTGAACTGCAAATACATGTGGCAACTCTTCCTGGCGGCTTCTGAAAATCATGTGCTGCTGAACGTTGCACATAACGGTCCGGTTCACTGCACCACCGTTCAACCCGTCTGCGAGTTTGACGTTTGTATCGTCGAAAACATTGATGGACAACACGCATGGTATGTCCACCTGTCCATCCTGGACATGATCCCCGTCGCCATGGTCGGCTCCTTCATCTTCATGTTCACGAGTGTCACGACCAAGGAAAAAATCTTTCACAGCCCTTGCGAAACTGCTGAAGTACAGCCATACTGCTCTGCGCCTGTTCTGATCAGTCTTCGATCTGGCATGCTCAGATGTCTCTTCGAAGGGATTCCACCAAGCTCGGATCGAATCCCTGCTGGAGAAAAATGTCTGCTGAAAGCCTGCTACCAGATCCTCCTGCCCCACAAGCTGGGCATTGCTTTGGCTCAGGTGTTGGGACTCCATCTCCAACTTTTTCCGCTGCCGAGCAAGCAAGGAAGCGGTTCTCGCTTTAGCAGTTTGCTGCTGTCGCTTCATTCTGGCCAATCTTTCATGCAAATCTTCATCCTCTTGTAAAGCTGCGGCAGGAGAACCCCCATTTCCAGAAGTTGAGGAATCGGCAAGCTCGGCCTCTGAGACTCCTGAACGATCACTAGGTATGTCAGAGTCAGAGCCAACATGCTCATCATCCGCAAGAGAATTTGTCTCTGCAGTCTGCGCAGGCTCAGAGCTCCAAAAATCTGATAATGGCATGGCGTGGTGAGTCAGTGGCCGGAGGAAGACATAATGACATTGATTTGGGGTGACTCTGACGTGACATTCTTCTTCAAAGGACCTTGCTATATTGCAATATGGCTATACGCCAAAGTCACAACGATTACCAACGATTATCGATTACCGGAGACCTCCTCGCTTCTCTCATTGCTTAGCTTCGCTTGAATCATTCGACCGAGCAAATCGCTAAGCTGCAAAGCGAGGCAAAGTGGCACTGCCGCACCAAACAACAGACGGGATGCACCAATCTAGGACCTAGGACGGGGGATGCCAGATGATGTAATGTACGGGTACGGTTCCTGCAAGTGCAACGGCACACAAGTACGGTGGTGCCTTGTACTTGGAGAAGAAAGCGCCCTCGCACTGCTCCGGCCATGCTTCGGCGAAATTCGAAACCTTCCGATTTTGGAACAACTGTGTCAGCTATGATACAGCTATGCTTCATCTCATCTCGAAGAATCTCGCATCGGGTTGGTTTTTTTGTCGGGTTGGTGTAGGCGGAGGGTTTAGGCTGAGGGTTTAGACTCCGGTGACTACAGTTTAAAGCACAAAGGTTCATGCTCCTGATCCCCGACGCCTGCCTAAGCCGAAACGCATCCTTGAGCCCTTGAGCCTTGAAACCCTTTCACATCACGCATGACCTGCTCCACAACGAAGGTTTTCGGCTGCCGCTGGCTAATGTGGCGGGCAGACTCGATGACCGGCAAAGCTGCGTCATCACTAACGAATGGGTTCTTCGAGGAAGTGCGTCGATGCTTGTTCAAGTTAGAGAACGGGGTGCACGGTGGACCTGCCACATATATGTCCTGCAACACAGCTACTGTCACTACTGTCTGCCTCGTACATTTGCCTTCCCATCATACGGCCTGCGGCCTACTGCCTACTCCTTACTGGCTTGCTGTGACAATGGCTCGGTTGACCCAAAAGTCCTCATCATCACCACCCTCGATCTCTTCCGGCATGCATAACTTGTTGTGCTTCACACAATGTCCTCCTGCTGTGCCACCGCTGCAATCCACGAACAAATGAGAGCCTGAATTTCACGCGAAGGAACTCAGCATTTCTTCAAACATCCGCACTCATGTGTACCTGCAGCACGTTTACTGACCAGTGACAATCATAGTGCTGCAACAACATGGCACGCGTCGGTCCATGAGATTCAGATGCGGAGATCTCGAGAAAATCGCAGTCGGTCGCTTCGCAAAGGTTTCGCCTCGCAAGAAGCCAAAACGCCGGTCGGGATGTGAATGCGATACAGCGACACACACACACATCGACGTCGAAAGGTTGAAGCAACGCTATTATAGTACCGTGGGAGACTAAGTGCTTGGCATGCAATATGCCAATGTCCCGGCCCCGGTGCAATCCGAAGAGACTATGTACCTTGGCTTTGGACCCAGCATGCACCGGAACTGCCGCTGCCAGTGCCTGCTGTGACTGTGACCGAAAGCTACGCAATGCTCTCCCTGCTCCGCTCCTCTCTTACCTGCAGATGAAGGTCTGGAGGCGATCATTTGGAGGAGCGATATCAAGAGGCTTTAGCCCCGACGCTGCAAGATACAACTCCGCCGACTTGAACATTGTTGGCATTGAAAGCATGCCATTGTCATCAGCAGCTCTACTGCTACCAGCATCACTGTCACTATCATCCGAATCTTCCTGGGATATGCGGGATGTCAAGACCGAGCGGGCCTCAGCATCGGAATCGCTCGATTCCTGCCGTCGATGCAAAAGCAGATTGGATCGTGCGCTTTCAACCTTGTGTCAGTGATATTAATTTTGTGAAGAAATTGTATCAAACTCAACCAGCTGGCAATCATGTCGGGAATTTGGGCAGGAATAAGCACGCGCCGTGCTCAAAGGCACGGAGAAAATAGAAGCCTAGACCACCCTTACCTAAGACGATTGTAACAAAAAAGACCGCTGTCAGAGGCGTTTTCAAAGCGATTTCCAACCCCCAGCTTCCAAACCCACCTGCCCGGTGCATTCGCAAAGGTTTGTCGGCATGCATGTGAGTTTTATCCTAGACCCTAGATCCTGAAGTCGCCAATGCCATGACAATGCGATGCGAACCTTAGCCGGAACTTAGCCCTGTTTGAAGTCAACTGAAGCTACAATGGCAACATAGCGTCATGGCGGCAGCTGTCCTTCTCGGAGTCGTGGCCGTTCTCGTCGTGGCTCGACAACAAACTATCCAGAATTCCGGGCATGGCAGGAGGAGGAACAAGCGGAAACAAAAAGATTAGGTACACGTGCAGTCGTAGTCGTAGTCCTGGCTAACCTAGCAGTAGGCAGCAAAAGTAGTTGTGTAGTAGCAGCAGTGGTAGCAGGGAAAGGAGTAGTAGTAGGAGTAGTAGCAGTAGTAGTAGTAGTAGTAGTAGTAGTAGTAGTAGTAGCAGTAGTAGCAGTGGCGGTGGGAGTGGTAGGGTAGTTGTAAGAGGAGGGATTTTTGCTCGGAGTCTGGTTCCCATCTCCTGAAGCTCGCAGCTTGCCGGAATCCGCCCAAAATGCATTGACAATCCAATATCCAATAACTGCCAATGACACTAACCCTAACAAAGCTAAACAGTTCCTGAGAAAGCTAAACAGTTCCTAAGAATGACCACATAGTTCCTAAGATACAAGACATTCACAACACAAACCAGACATTAAACAGCCGACACAGCCTCCTAATGTATACCGCTTACTAATATGTAAACTGTTGAATGCCATGTCGGCACTGCCTTTTGTGGGCTTTGGCCACTGTACGTTTGGATACAAGAAATAGTTTTATGGTTCTGTGCTTCCAGCAGCAGCTTGCAGCCGACTAAAGTCCAAATCCCTGTTGAGCCAAATCGGTCGAGCTTAAACGGAAGCTGGCCTGGGAAGATAAGGCACTGGAAGTCCTTGCGGCAGCCAGGGCAGTTCCCGTGCAGTTGGAGCTTTGACGGGTAGCAATTGCCACCTCGGCACTTCAAGAAAGCTCAGACAAACATGGACCCAAATCAGGACCTACCATTCTTTTGAGGAGCAGGCAAAGGTCGTAGCTGGGACAGACAGGGCACTTGAAGCCTCGGCCGCGGAAATCTGCCAAGAATTTGTGCAGCAGTCCCACAATGTCCAACTCTGAAGTGGGGTGGCGGCGTGGGCCCACAATGGGATTAACACCGCAGCCCTCACACTTGATGCCGAAATGGTGCTGCCTGGCGGGCTCGCCCTCCCCCTGCATCTTTCTGATCTACGTCATTCTACGTCCGCTAGGTGGCAGGCCACGGAGTCAGATTTCCGCTTGGCCTCGGCTGACTTGCTGCGAAAGCACGACAACAAGAGGCCACAGCGACTCTGCACTTGCGCATAGAATCCGGCGCACACTCATCGCCAGTCCAAGATCGGGTGAGATCCTTTCAGAGAAGCAACTGTAGTCGGGAAAAGGGTCTCGCAGAGACCGTGAAAGACTGCACGCATGCGAAGGTCCTCCAGGAAAGGTAGCAGGCTGGCAGAGACTTGCTCACAGAAGCTCGTTTGAACCTGAAAGGAAGGATGCCATTGCTGGATGAAGGCAAAGGCGAACATGGCGAACCTCGAAGCTGAGCCCTCGCAGTGCTTTCAGAAGCTCGAGGATGGCTTCACCAAGCCGCCTGACCGCCGCCGTGGGACATCCGCTGGCAAGCGCATCGGCATCCACGGGGCCTCTGCCCGTTCCCGCCTCGAAGAGCCTTCAAAGGTTTTCAGAAGGGAAGAAGTCAGACTCTCCTTGTTCGCACGTGTTTACATCCCCGCCTCCGAGATCGGAGAAGCAAAGGACTCCAATCCCGGAGTTTCTGCTGCCAGCTCCTCTCACACCCCAAATCCCAGCAGGTGAAACCCCCAGACATCGTCACGTTCGGGCCACGCGCTCAATTCCCGATGCACAGACATAGCAATGAGCGAGATGAAAAGACTGGGATGCACTCTTGGCTCCTGGATTCTTTCCAAAAGTTTTTTCCACGTGTCGTTGAGACCATCGCGAGCTACATGGTTAATCCTGGATGAGCTTTGCTTTCGCTCAAGTCCAAGCAAGCAAGCCGAGGCCAGGGCTTGTCGACCTTGCGCGCAACTCGCTGTGTCAAAAGCGGAAGCCATTGCCTGGAGCTTTTCTTGGAAAATCAATGCGAGATGCATGCTTCCAAGCGAGCTCGGGCGACACGGCCAGTGACGCGAACATGGCGGGAGTGAGCATCCCCGTCTCCTACAAACGTAAGGCCACTTTAAACGAGAGGACAGGCAAAGTCAGACTGCAGGCCAGCGCACCTGCAACATGCGCAGCGCAGCCAGAAGACGGCGAGGCCCGCCACCATTACCACCAGGGCCTGCTGCAAATGTGCAGCAAGGCATGCGAAGCAACAGTGGCAGAGCCCCGGCCCCAAGCTCCGGGACCACCAGTGCACCCGCCAAAACAATCGCCGGTCTCCTCCAAGACAGCAGAAAGCAATATAAAGCAATGCAGAATGCAAAGTGCCGGGGCTGTCAATGCTTCCTCCTTCTCAAGGCCAGGCGGCGGGCCTTGGATCCTCGGAAAGACCACAGGAGAGGCATTGGCGGCTGTGGCTCTTTGACTCCACGCTTTGACTCCGGCGGTGGATCGACCGACGACCCGCCTTGCCTTTCGAGAGGCGCTCTCCTGGCAGGCTTCGGACGCGCTTCGCAGGAGCGCTCGGAGCGCTCCCTAAGGTCACAGGGGCCTCTCTGGTCTTTCAAGTTCCTGCTGGCTTGAAGCATCTTTTTCGCAAACTGGCTGCTTGGGAAGGAACAGCTTCAGCCTGACGCGATGTGGAAACCGCCTGTCTCAACTCGACTCCATGCACCTTCGCCCCCAACTAAGCCGGCTGGGCTTCAGCAAGCGACTGCTCGATCCTCGCTGCCTGGCATGAACTGACTCCTACGTTAGCACGGGCAAAAGAGTCCGAACACAGATCCATGCTACCATGATAGAACTGTCTCTGTGCTGTGGGGCGCACTGCTCAAGAAAGTCCACGAATGTAGATGGCGCAAGAGTGCATAGATCTCCTTCTTCGTCGGCCTTACCACATCGAAGGATGACATCACACAGCCGCTTCGTTCTGGAATCTCTAGTGAGAAGCTCCGCGCGTATTTCAGAGCACAGCTGCCGCCTTCACAAAGCATCGCGGCTGTCAACTCAGGACCTTGGCAGCACAAAGGAAGATCACTAGGGTGAAGACACAAAGCCGCCCTGCCAAAAGCTGACAGTGTGCTTACACACGTGGCCCTGGCACCTGCTCGGTGATTTAGCAGACTACACTTTCCTCCTTAGCCTACTGGCGAACCCTGAATCAGAAGAAGCTTGACGTCCCAAAGATGGCAATTTGGAGCAGACAAGTTACAACTGCGAGGGGCGTAACAGAGGCAACAGAGGGGAGAGTAGACCTCGGAATCACCTTCCTTGGTCTGGGAAGCCCATGTCAACTAGACCTGGTCCACGAGGGCCTGGATGAAGATTCGTTGCAAAGGTAAGTCTGTCTGATAACCGGGCTCCAAGTGGGCTCCAACATGCATTCTGTCACTCATCGTCCGAGCAGCGGCAGCTCGCGACCACCTGCACCACGGACTCGAAGCTAGGCCTTGGGATGGCCCATTCCGCTCAAGTTCTTAGAGCCCCGCTAGTGAGTGGGTGGCGGGAGGCAGCTAAGGCTCCCGCTCTGCTTGAAGCGTCAGGCGGTAAATCTCACCGTCATCGCATTGAACTTTAACCACTGTCTGCCATGGAGCTGCACATGATGGACAAGAGCACATGCTGAAACTGTCTTGCTACTGAAAACCGAAATCTCGCAGGCCCACCGCCATATCAGACCAAATGACATGGGAGTTCCTGGGCGTTGCAACTGCTTGGGTACAATACTCAACACTACAAGGAGGAAAACCACCCGTGCTGTGCTGAAAAAATCAATTTCTGTCTTTCGTTCGTTGGCGGGCCACTGCTGCGACTGCAAGAGGGAACTTTTTAGGAGATGCCAATGTCAGAAAGCCGCCTAAGCCCTTACATCACGTAAGCGGGCTTACATCACGGAGAGGTCCCTTGTAAACAGAAGAGGTTGCTTGCTTGAGTTGATCTCTGTTCCTGCTGGTGACCGCCAATTTCCCAAGAGAGGTTCCCGCATGAGTAATTACAAGGGGCTCAAGTGGCACATCAGTGCGACACACTCAGGCATTCTAGTCTACTAGAACTTTTCCCCCACCATCACCTTCTCTGTCGTTTTGCGGCCAAGCAAGGGGGGGACCCCTTGGTGGCGCACAGCCTCAGAGGGAGGACCAAGATGAAATCATGCCAACAGGTCGTAGCGTCGTAGCCCTTCACCGAATCACAAAGATGTTCAACCTCAGCGATCATGCGCCTGTAGTCACGGTCCCGCGTTGCAGTCAGAGCCATCACACTCTTGCTGACTTACATGGGGCATAGGGATGGTATGTTCTTCCCTCCGTAGTGAAGAGAAGTGGAGTGACCCCTCGTACTGCGTGAAAGTGCTCTCTTTCTTCATTTCTGCAGGCATATAAGAGATGACGTCCCCCTCTGCGACAGCAGGAACCCGCAGATTAGCGGCGGACCACTCCAGTTTTGTGAACCGCCAAGGTCCGATCTCTGTTGCACTGAGCCTCTGGCACTGACTTCGCATGCTGCCAGTAGGCACGTTCGTTCAGGGCAACGCCTCGAGCCCAAGCCGGAACACGGCGACGAGCAATTGAAGCATCCAGGCTCAAGAATGCAGCGACCGAATCCACAGCGTGGCAATGCGTGGCATCGTCGAGGATGGCAAGGCAGGAGCTGCATGCGTACTTTTCTACTGAGCATCAGGTTGATGCCAGCTGCTCTACAAGAAGCTACCTGTCTCAGAATGCTTTTGCAGTTCGGAGACTGGCTATCGCAGGCATTCTTCAGCATGTCTTATCCCTAGACCGCAGGATCAAACAGCGCTAGAGTGTGTCTCAAAAGAGCGAGAGCCACAGAGAGGTCTGAGGGAGGCAGACGCTTCCACGGCATGTAGGGCTGCCGTGAGAGCGGCAACCCCCCTCGAAACCACTGCGAGCCTAAGAGTGAAACATGCCTGACCCGCCCAGCTTCTTGTCGCCAACCACCCTGACAGGCTTGAGCTGAACTTCACGCTCTTCTCGGCCAACTTAAATGAGAGGCTCCGGCTGCTGTGTTGACACATTTGGAAATGGCCTCCGATCAGTAGCTTCTAAGGTGGCCACTGTGCGCCATGATGCAAAGATCTGAGGTTCAAGCAATACAGGCCGTCTGTCCGACCGCTCGTCAGAAATCGCCTCCCCGCACAGAACGTTCTCGATCTTTGAAGCGCTATACCGTCCATACCCTTCGGAATTGTATGGACAGCCGGAACTAGATTGCAAGCCTTCCAGACAGCTGCTGGTGCCTTGGGTCGCAAGGCCTGTCAGTTTGAGACCCTGAACGTGCCGTGGTCTGAGATTGCAACTGTCGCAGGTGACGAAGGTTCCTCACAAGCTCAACATACATCCCTCGCTAGCTTTCAGACCTTCTGCAGTGTCTCTATAAAGTTTCTCTGTGTTTCAGTGTATAAGGAGACCTGGCTAGGCTTTGCTTCGATCGTTGCTTCACATGGAAAGGGATCCTTCGACACCAATGCACCCTCTCTAGCACACACACACACACAGGTAAAACAAAGTCTGATGTAGACGTTTTATAGATGCTTGATGGCCGCTTCCAGATGAGTAGATGCCACAGACAGGAATATTTCGTGGGGCGGGCTTGCCTCAAGCGTTGCCCGTTTTCCGCACAGTGGTGCAAAGCACCCTTGTTAGGCTTGAGTGTCGGTGTGCGAAAGCTGCAGTCCCCGCAATCTCTAGGAACACAATGCATCCGACGGCAGCACATCCGCAGGACAACAAAAGCATCCGGACAAAATCAATCAAAAGCAATGTACTTCTCCACGACAGACACTCAGGTCGTACATCCCTGTCTACATGTCATTACATGTCGCTCCACTCAGTGCCCTCGGAGGAGATTTGGGAGGTCTCGGAGTCCGTGGCCTGGCCTCCTCTGATTCTGGAGGCGCTTCCGGGCAATCCGACTCCTCTCGCGAGAACTCGTTGCGCCTCCCTTTGCGGCTAGCAGTCCAATCTCTGGTCCTCGAGATCTGACTCATCGTGACCTGGGTACGTCAGCGTAGCTCACAACAAGCATCTGCGATGAGCAAAAAGGGAGTTGCCCAATTACTTGACAGGGACATTTGCAAACGAGGCTTGTCGAAAGGTATCGGAACAGCTCCTTGACACCGACACTGCATGGTTGTGCGAGTCTTCGTGTTCCGATATCTCTGCGAAATTGTAAAGCACTCCAAACAAAAAACTCACATGGGCAAGACAAGACTTGGAGAGACTGACCCTACACTACACACAAGTCAACAGTGAGAAAATCAACGGGTATTTCGGTCGGCTGCGCTCCCAGAAAGGACGTCAAGACACAGACGCGGCAGGAAGCTCCGATCATGGGTTGCACAGCAAGCCGAGCAGGAGCAAGGAACCCTGACCCACCGAACTGCAAGCGTTCCGAACTCCAAGGCCGCACCGGGGACCACTGCAAGTCCCACTGCAAGCAATCTACCGCAGGTTTCACAACATTCCGGCTGCCTCCAGGGGAGCTAAGGCCAAACCGAGACCAGTAATCCTTGTCTCGGAACCCTCTCCCACCAATGCTGCAAGAAACTCTAGCCATCGTCCTAGCAGTGGCTTTGACAACCATGACCTTTGAGTCACGTGCCGTTCATGATGCGGTTAATCATGAAAAATGCGATTCTTATTGTATTAGGACTGCACGTGCAATTTGCAGCTGGTCACCGTGTTGCCTCTTTTGTGTGTCGACTTTGTTTGCCAGGAACTCTGGATATGTTTTCTACTAGGGCTACGTTTCAAGCGACCAATTTACGATTTACGACGGTGAAATCATATTAGATATCCACTTCGCATCGTGGTCTTCTGGTTTGCTTGCACACACGGAAATGTCACGACCAAGACACTCGTTGGGTAGTTCCAATTTGCACGTGCAGATTGTTGGAGCTCGTGCCTTGCAGGTTTGCAAAATGTTGCAGATTCCGAATCTTTTCCAGTGCAACGTCATGGTGACTGCCTGACCGTGCCATTCCACACAAGTCCCAAAGCCCCTCCACGCGACCAAACCCAACCCAACAAGAACAGAAAAACGCAGACAAACGCCATTATACAAGTAGGACCCGACACCACAACTGGAGCGGGTAGAGCCCAACTCTCAATCGAAAGCAATCTCTGTAGCGTCACACTAAGTAGAGACAGGCGGCTGTCCTGGCCAGTCCGGCACTGGCTGGACCTGCCGCGCAACTGTAACCCACCCGCCGCTTGGAACTTCACACCTTCACTGTAAGTGCCCCGCCAGCCCTTGTCATTCCGCGCTGGGGCTCTCTCCGCCCGTGTCTCGACAGACCTGGATTTAGGGACCAAGTACTGGCTGATAGGCTAAGGTCCCGAAGTGTTCTCAAGCTCCGACAGCGCAGGCGACGCTCGCTCTCGTGCAGAATTCACGGGTGTTTCCCAGACAGGCCTTGCGTGGTATTCGCAAAGTGAATATTGTCTTATAGACTTGCAGAACATGCAAGGCAAAAAAGAGCAGCAGCCGCAGCAGCCTTGGAGGAGAGTATGTTGAAGACGAATTTGAAGGGATCCAGCTCCCTCATCGTTTGAGAGCGCGTGTTAGAAGTGAAATCTCGACTCAGACATCCATCCGTTGTCCGAGTGCACCGCCCGCTCTGGTTGAAGCATCCGCTTGCGTAGGTGAGCATGGAGGACTGCACAACACAACAGATTTGTGTAGCCATCTATCTGCTGTACGGCGAAAACATTGCAACTGCACAATAAACACGTCATTTTACGGATGACGTCGAAGAGAACTGCGTGTTTCGGTCAAGTGATGAATGCACCTGTAGCAGATCAACAGAGCTGTACCCAACCTCGCACTTTGATTTAACTTGCCGTAAAAAACCATAACGACTGTACGGAGACAAGTATGTAAGTATGTCAACCCATACAAAGTTGGCCGAAGATCGCCAATACAAGCCCGCCTGTGCTTTAACAGCAAAGCCTGAGCCTGCTGAGCACAAACACCTGATCCCATGAAATAAAATCGCAAGAACAGGTCCAGATTCATGATAGCTGACAGCATGCAGGAAACATCCGCGGCCTCCAATTCGTAGCTTTCCTGTTTTCCACCTGAGGCACGTCTCAGGACGAGACAGCCAGTAGCTATTACACAATAATGCCCCACAGAATTGCTATCCGAGTCACCTCGGCTGCGACGAAAGAACAGGAAGAACAGTGCTCGAACCATCTGGACTGACAGCATCGTCCTGAGACATCAGGACTCTATGCAGCATACAAGATACAACCTCCGGCGGCCTGCGCGGCCTGACTCAGCAGCTCCTTCGGAGGCGTTTACAGCCTCTGCCAGCTCATCTTCACCCTGACACATACAAGCAACCCCATGGGCAACAGAGACGAGTACACTCGTCAATGTCTGAGCTGCTGACATGAACAGCAGCAGCATCAGAAGTTGAACTTGTCGCGGCTGGAAGGGCGCCAACAGATGTGGAAGCAGACTCGGGAGCCTAAGGCACTTGCACCATGAGCTGCGGATGGCAAAGAATCGCGGTAAGATCCCAAGAGCGACGCAAGTGATAAGAGAGGAACGTCCACAGGGAGACTGCCACCTGCTGGCGCATTTGTAGACGGACATTCTGCTGGTGTCTGGACTCAATCCCACGACGCCTGTTCGTCCAAGGAGTGCTGACCGCAGGGCACCATTGTCCCTCCGCAAAGTGTGTAGCTGGCTTTGCAACCTGGCCAGTTGGAGAGAATCTACCGTACTACCATGCAGCGGCGCAGTGAGTTGGCTCGGCGCATCTTACTACATGCCAACACTCGTGACGTTCAGAGTACCTGCAGAAGTCCCATGAAAGAATCCACAAGGCAGTCCTCCGGTGAAGGGCCAAGACTCCGTCGGCTGCGACAACATGTTGAAAATGCAGGTTTCTAGTATGTTCATGGCTTGTGCTCGAATTATAACGACAAATTTGCTCAACCCCCAGCCACTCGAATCACTCGCTGAACAGGCTGAGACACATCAGTCAGAAATTCATGATCACAAAAGCTGCAACAACGAACATCGCCGAAAAATCCAATGCTGTAGAATAAGTCGTGCCAGCCATACCCAGAGACTGTTTCCTTCAAATCATCCAATTCTTGCCTGTCGGGCAGCCTGGCTAGGCCCCGGCAGTAGCAAATGCAATGAATGTAACGGTGAGGGTTTGAGGCGGCGGCTTTTCGGGCTGCATAACTAGGCGCCTGTCTGCATCCAGGCCGACCTGTTCAGCAACATGGCTGTCTTTGACAAGCGCAATTTCGCGAAAATACATCACACAGAGAGTTATAGTCCTTCTCGCACCTCTTCGACATCGCCCTCCTTGGCGATTGCTGTTGCCGCATTCTCGTTCTCTACGTCAACGTCAATTGCCACAACGTCCTGTCGAATCGCTGGCACACTGCAACCTTCAACTCATCTCGAGACGACCTCCAGATACAACCAACTGTGGCAGTGGACATCAATTTCAGAGCCATTCCGAGTGCAACTTAAGCTCTTGCGAAGCATCTGCACCTTCAAACCTGGAATCAACCATTCACTCAAGAGAAACAAAGACAAAGACATCCGTGAAAATGGTGCTAGTACTATGAACGCATGCACGAATGAACTAATGAATGCAAGCAGAGAAGAAGAGCTCAGGAATAAGGTATGTATGTCTGAATCAATTACGGAATGAATGAACAAACGAATCAATGAATCAATGGGCCAATGACTTCATACATGTATGTTTGTGCACACATGCATGGCTGCGTCTGTCTGCGAACGTATAACTAACTCAACCGAACAATTACCGTGGTGACAATACTAACTTACAGTAATTAAACTATCCACATGTGTGCCAGGCAGTTCTACAGAGCACTGCGTGTGTGTACATACATATATGTGTGTGTGGTAGGTAGATATAAATGCATACATTTGCGGGTATGTATATATATATATATATACATACACACACACTCACTTCGTGTGTGCATGCGTATGTGTGTACCGTACAAACATGAGTCAAACATGTATGTGTACATGTCGATGTAGATGCATGCACACCGAGGCATACACGTACCCATATCTGTGCCCTTGCCATTCACAGTCGCCTGCGGACAAAAACAAGGCGTCTGTTGCAAATGGAGGACACCGATCACAAGGAGAGGATTTCAAACGCACTGAATGTCTGGGCTTGACATTGAGCAGGACAAGGACGTGCACGAAACACTCACCTGGTCTTAGCTTTCACATGCATCAACAACTGTCCAAGAATGGGAATTGCATTGCCCCGGCGCCTGTCGGGCGACTTGGGCAGCAGCCTTTCTCTTTGAACCTGCAGTGCTTGAATCCCGGATCGCCAGCTGGCTTGGAACTGAGACACCCTCTCCCTCATGCACACGAACACATGCTCCCTGGCCCGCATTGCCTTCCGTTTCCTAGCTCCACCTAAGATTGCACCCACGGTATGGCTTTGCTGGGACCGGCTATGAAAGCCCCGACCTACGAAAACCCTTACATGCCCTGACCTTACCTAACAAACCCTGGCTAAGCCTCACCGAACCTAATCTGATCCATGTTAACCTAACACCCCAGCCCTACTCACCTTAGACCCTAACATAACTGCGGCCCAAACCCACTGACTTGACCTGAAAAAGGTTCACCTACCCCCGACCCGAACTTAACCCTAACCATCCTGGCCTGGCCTGACTTAACCCTGGGCCCTAAGCTAACCGGACTTAGCCTGCTAACCCCAACCTGTCACCAACTGATCCCAATCTATTCGGAATTCTATGCCCGACCCAAACCAAAGCCAGCCAAATCTACACTCCTACACAGCCTAACCTAGCGCAACCTAGCCTAACCTGACCGAAGACAACCTGAGCCAACGTTCCCCAAAACCCCAACCTCACCTACTCCTAACCCCTTAACTTAAACTAACCTACTCTTCCCCCAAGAGGTTCCCTTACCTCAGCTAGTGCACCCACCCAAAACCCTGCCCGGACCTATCCGGAACTAAAACCATCCATCATCCTGACCTACCCCGTTTCTTGACCTGACGCGCAACTTAACCCAGCCTACCCTGATCTAGCCTTCTCTAGCCTCATCTCGCCCAACCGAACGCTTACCTGACTCCCAAGCTGGCTAAGCTGACCCCAAACCCGAACCGAACGCAAGCTAGCCCCGCCTACCTTATACTTACCCTGAGTCTAACCCGGATCTAAGCTGACCATCCTAAATCCGTACCTAACCAAGCTTGGCCAAGCCTAACATATTCTTATCTTAGGCCGTAGCCTCACCTGACCCTCTAAATCGCTGACCCGACCTTACGAAACCTAACCCTGCCGAACCTAGATTGAACCCTAACCTAACTTAGCCTAAACCCTACCCGAACCTTCCTAAGCCTTAAGCAAACACTGATCGCAATCAGTCTCGTCTTACGAGCTGTCGTCTGCACTTCAGACACTGTGGCTCGTCCGCGATGAAGCTGTTCCCGGCTTGCCAAACTTGGCAAGGCTCTTGATGATGAAACCCTTAGTCCGCCGATCTTCCGAGTGGGCGTCCTGTACCTCCACCTTTGACCACGATGGCGGACAGTCGCAGAAAGCTAATGACAATACGTTCTTGATACACCATAAGCATGATGCTGCCTTGTGTTGCCGAGTAGGTAACCATCTAAACTTGCGCCACGTGAACCTGTCGGTCTGGTCTCCGAGGACAGTATGTTCAACACATCCAGCACGGGGACGGTAGGCTCCAAAGCATCGATCCAAGGATGGTACTTCGGCGTACACAGGGAGGGTAGGATGCCCTATTAAGCTCTTGCTGCAAAGGTGTCCATGAAGGAATCACCATAGAATGATTATGGGATCAGGGGGTGAAGGGCTTGACGAACACTGAGAATGATGCCAAAGCCACACAGCGCTGCTCTCCAGGATCGCACCCCCCTGCTCCTTGTCGAACTGTCTGGTGCAAGCCTGGCAACATGCAAATTGAACAGGACAACGCTGGACAACCCACATGCAAGCATGAACATCCACAGCTACCAACTGCAAACTCAGGCCGCAACGGTTTGGACACATCCAACAGGTCGACATCATCAAAATGTTTCAATCCGACCATGCTGGCGGGGGCTCCAGCCGGAAAACATGCCTAACACTATCACTGAGATTTATGATCTCCGTGCCGACAAAACTTATTTGTTGCTGCAATTAATGGCAGTCGTCGCACGTACGTTCCTGTCACGTACAAAGTATGATCCTGAGTAAGAAACAATTCCTGACGTGGCACAAAATGGCGGCTGTCAGGGCCAAGGTAGGGTACTCAAGGTAACAAGTAACAACAGCCTTTTATGGTTCCATGCATATTGATCTACACATGTGTCTGCCTCTGTTTGGGCACGAGCTCCGGCCAAAAACAGGCGAGATTACGGCGACAGGAACAATTTCAACCACAGTGATCTCGCTCACGTTACGTTCAGTACCAGCCGGCAAACAAGCCGCAAGAAAAAACCCTTGAAAGCCGACCCACAGACACACACATGCAGGTGCCGTTTGCGCCGGTTGTCAAATTAAGGGGTGTCTTTTGCTCAAACACCGACTGCCAGTGATTGTCTGGAAAGAGGACAGGGTGGAGCCATTGGAGGGATTGTCGCTGAACATGATAGCTCAATGGCGTTCTTGCAATTGCAAAATTCGTATTGAGCGGGATTGGCCTCATACCTGTAAGAAGGCACAGCCTAACCTAGCCCGCTGACCATGTGGTTCTGAGCTAGCTGCCAGCTTGCGTACCTGCACCCACCTCCTGCCTGGGAGAAGTCCCCTTTACCAACCACAACGGGGAACGAAAGTCGCTCTTTAGGTCCCTCCCACCTCGTATGAACCCTTGGCACGGGATCCACTACCGATGTGCCTCTGTCGTTCTTTTTCGTCGCCGCACACAGCAACATCCAGCAGTAGGAGCAGGGTCCCTGCTCCGCGTCTTTCGTGCCCAGAGGGGCTCCAGCAAAACCACCCTTGCAGGCCTGCCAGGCCTTGGGTTGCAGGTCAGGCCCTGCCTGCTTTACCCGGCTCTTGGTGCACTGTGCAGGGGCACAAGGGGCATCCTTTTCTCAGACATGCTTGCCTATGCCATCCAAGTGTCCGAGGCAAACGCGCGCAAACGTAGCACTGATATCTTAAACGGACTGCTCCACAATGAGCAATGAGGTGTGTCATGACGGCTAGAGTTTGGACGCAGGTGGTGTCGTCGCTGAACCTTTCTCGTACGACGGGCTGCCGGAGCCCTGCCACATTCCGATGGCGGCTCATAGGGTCTTCCTCAGCTTCCAGGTTGGTACCCCTTTCCGAATCCTTTGGGTGGAGTCAGGTTGTGAAACTGGGGCATAGAAGGGCGCGACCGCCCAACAAAGCCCAGTCGCTGTGGGAGCAACCACCAGGGCTAGGGATATGTGTGCATTGGCCGTCTACGACGTCCATCCTGGCCTACAGGCATGAGAGCCCTGAACAGGCGGCACGCGGCATCCAGCGTGCCTCAGGGAAGTGTTGGGATCTCCCATCCTTCACGACTGCGAGGCCCAGGGCCAGGCTGCTGTCATCTAGTACAGAAGCCCTCCTAGAAAAGCGTGACGCTGTGGAAGTCATCACAGACCGTCTCTCCCAGAATGCCAGTACCTGCACCTGCACAGTGAGCCGCAAGGCGGGCCTTGGAGCCTCGCCCAATGGGCAGCTCGGCGGAAGCTTCAAGACTTCTGCTGGCAGAGGGCACGGCGTGGCAAAGGCCACGGGAAAGAATGGAGGCCTGTCAGCGTAGAGTCTGAGGTGCTTAGAGCCTGGGCTCGGAGTGGGGGCCGCCCACCATGTACAGGCGCAGCGTCGAGCGGCGAAAGCGTGTGCACCCGACCACTGCGCCTGCATGATTGGAAAATGGCCTCATGGACAAGCTGCTTGCACGGGAGCCTGTCAAGCCCGGGAGAAAGCTTCGGTAGCGAGGGGCCCACAGGGCCTAAGCCTAAGTCACGGATCGGAAGCTTTGAAGCTACAAAAGGTAAGGGACTGCCTGGTGTCATTGCTTGATCCCTTGTCTCAGTAATCATATCGGAAACACATTCTCCAAGCAGCAATGCCAACGATGCCAAACATCAGGGCCAAGCACTTCGGCTGGACACGTTGTCGAGGCTTCGGGAGCAACAGCACGAGGCCATAAACCGTATAAACCTGCCATGAGTTGCAATGGCCGTGCTTTTTCGCCTCGGCTACGGCTACAACTTGATGGCCATTGCGATGGATAAGTCGGATAAGTCCTGCAAGCCTCTTCCACGGCTCATAGGTGCACCCGGCGCTATCTGCAAAGGCGCTGGCCAACCTGGCAGAACGGCTGCCAGCATGGCCGAGGAGGGCTAG